AGCTGCTGGGCCGTGGTCACAGCACCCACGGACACTCCCCCTCCGCTTATGCAGCAACGTACACCTCATCCTCCTCCAGGAGAGACTCGGCCAGTCGCAAGGACTCGGTGAGCAGCCTGCTGCACGGCCTCCCTGCAGCCTACCAGCATCAGTTTGCCACTGGTTCTCCTTATGTTAGTGTGACGCCCCGAACCGAGGTTTACAGTGCCTACCAGCTAAGCCCTAGGCGCCTCGCGCAGTATCCATATTTGTAGGAAATCTCGCACAAAGAATTGGGGGGGGGGCACACTTCCCCATATGATATCACAAAGGGACATTTTAAACTGTAGAGTAACTGTTGGTCACTTATTGTTTGCTGCTTTGAACTACAAGACAGCGTTTCACCTCTAGCACATTTATATGCTCTTACGGACTCTTAGTGTTATTGAAATGATCCTCTGTATTATTTATCTTTTTTCCCCTTTTAAATTGTTTATGGTCCACATTTTATCCCCATTGCATCCTGATGTATTAATATGGTGTTGTTGAAACATATTTTACAGCTGTTTTATCTCGAGGTTATCTGTGAAGAGAGATTTTCCTCCTATCACAAGCTGCAACGAAACTTGAGGAGCTTCAAGACGCTGACTTGCCAGACTGATGAAGCTGACAGTTTTTAGTTTTATTTTAGTTTTTTTTTTTTTCTCTTGTTCCTTCCTGTGAACCTTATTATAAAGTTTTCACACTAATCCACTGAGGCCCTGTGTTTTTAGTGACATAATAATGACTGTACCTTACTTATGTTTGTTTACTCATATGTCTTCTGTTTATTAAATTAAGTTTTAATGTCTGTGCGAGGTAGGAAGAGCGAGGTCCACGAAGATGTGGATTAAAAGAAGAGATACGGTGAAAACTGATGGATACGTGTTAATTTAAGTGCACATGTGATAGTCTGTTAATGTAGTGACAGTGTTTTTTAGCCAGGATTGATTGTCCTTATGCAATAGAATCTCTTTAAAAACAACAACAAAAAAAACCTACAATAACTGAGTGCTGAATGTATTTATGAAATTCAGAGTGGATGCCCAGTCTGAGAAATGATGTGAAAAACTGTTTTTAAATTGTAAGAGCGGGGAAATCAAATGTCCTTGAAATAAATATTTTTTAAAAAAAAACCTCACATGGGCTGGGGAGAGGGGGGGAAGATGAAACACACAAATTTCACCCCAAATTCCCACGCCTCTCCATAACAAAGGAGATTTTCCTTTTTTCTCCCTGTGACGCTCTGAAAATGCTTGCTAGGAAGTTGTAACAAACTTGCACACTGTGCTACACAAGGACTGACTGATTAAATGTATGCAAACTGTCTCAGTTTAGCGTTCTCATGAATTATCCCGTGTCTCAAAGAGAGATCTTTATACTGCTATGTCTCGCCCAGAGGTGCAGCTGTCCTTTACATGTACAGCTTACTTTGTCTCAGAAAGGTTTTCTATACTAAAGTTTGGAGAACAGCAGTCACTGTGTTTTTGAATTTTTAAAGGAGGTGAATCTTTGGTTTCTTTGGATTATCAGCTTTTTTTTTTCCCCCAAAGTAATTCCTTTCCCCTTGTTTGCATCAGTTTTGTGTTGTAACGTCTGTGTTTAATCCTAACATAGTATAGTAAAGAGGCTGTTAGATCTAATTCAGGGACAAAGGTTTCAGCTAAGTAATCCAATTTCATTGTTTTCCAATAAAATAACCTCAAATTCACAGCGACTCGTTTCCTCATTCATTCCCTTTTTTTTTTCTTTTTTTTCTCTCTAAGATAACTCTTTATTGTCATTGCGCAGTCATACATAGTACAATGAAATTGGAAAACTGTCCTACGTCAGCACTACATATAATATGACACACACTATATTAACTTAGTAATAAAAAAAAGAATAAGTATATTTGTATTGCACATTAGTCATTATTGCACCTTGTTATAAATATAAATATTATTATTGTTTTTACTGTTGTTACCTCCCCCCCAAAAAAAGTCCAGGGAGGTAGCCAATCAGGTCAGCTGTTTGCATTGATTAGGGCTGTTGCCCTGTTGTAAAAGCTGTCCTTGAGTCTATTTGGAACCTCAGCAGCTTAAGCACCCGGTGTCCTGGGTGTGTACCGTCCCGTAGGATGCTGCGTGCCCTCTTGAGACAGCGAGTGCTGTACAGGTCCTTCAAGGAGGGAAGTCAATGTCCAAGGATTTTTTTGGGTCATATTGATGACCCTCTGGAGTGCCTTTCTGTGTGCTGTGGTGCAGCTGGAGAACCACACACCGATGCAATATGTCAGCACACTTTCAATGGAGCAGCGGTAGAAGACGGTCAGCAGCTCCTTCTTCAGGTCCATTCTTCTGAGGATTCTCAGAAAGTGGAGACGCTGCTGGGCCTTCATTAAAACCGCAGAGGTGTTAGAGCGCCATTGGAGGTCTGTGTCTATGTGCACACCCAGGAACTTGAAGCTGGAGACCCTTTTAAAGCACTCCCCGTTGATGCTGACAGGCTGCAGCTCGGACTTCCTCCTTCTGAAGTCAACTACCAGTTCTTTTGTCTTGGTGGTATTGAGGTCCAGGTTGTTATCTGCACACCAATCTGACAGCCTCTGAACTTCAGCTCTGTACGCAGTCTCATCTCCCCCTGAGATGAGCCCCACCACGGTGGTATCATCTGCAAACTTGATGACTGCGTTGTCTGGGTGGGAACTAACACAGTCATGTGTGTACAGTAGGGGACTCAGTACACAGCCTTGTGGAGAGCCAGTGTTGAGGCTGAGGGGTGAGGAAAGATGAGGCCCACTCTAACTCTCTGTGCACGGTTTGAGAGGAAGTCTCTGATCCAGCGGCAGGTGGTAGAAGGAAGTCCGATTTCCAGCAGTTTAACTATTAGTCTGTCCGGGAGTATCGTATTGAAAGCAGAGCTAAAGTCAACAAAGAGCAGCCTGGCGTAACGGCCCTGCACTTCCAGGTGAGAGATGGTGGTGTGGAGCGTTGTAGCGATGGCATCTTCAGTTGATCTGTTAGCTTTGTATGCGAACTGGAGCGGGTCGAGTGTGGGTGGCAGGCAGGACATGATGTGACGTCGGACCAGTTTCTCGAAGCACTTCATTATAACAGGTGTTAGAGCAACTGGTCGGTAGTCGTTGAGGCTGCTAATGTTAGTACGCTTTGGCAGTGGGACAATTGTGGCTGACTTTAGGCACAGCAGGGATGCAGGACTGGGACAGTGAAGTGTTGAAGATCTTAGTGAAGACCCCAGCCAGCTGGTCTGCACTCTTTTAGGACCCTTGCAGTTACCCCATCTGGTCCGGCGGCCTGCCTGGGGTTCACTGCCCTCAGTTTGCGCCTCACCTCATATTCCTGCACTATGAGACTTGGTCTGCTGCTGCTGTTCGATGTTTTTGACGCTGCTGCCTCTGGTCCCTTCACCTCAAAGTACGCGAAGAAGTGGTTCAGCTCCTCCGCAAGCGCCGAGTTATCCTCAGTCAACATGGTACTGCAAGGTTTGTAGTTAGTTAAGTGCTGAACTCCCTACTATAACTGTCGTGAGTTGTTGTTGCTGAAGTGGTCTTTGATCCTTCTCTTGTACGCTGCCTTGGCCTCTCTGATGCCTCTTTTCAGCTCAGATCTGGCTGCACTGTACTGCATACCATCACCGGATCTAAAAGCGGCGTCATGTTGCTTCAGCAGGACCTGGACCTCTTTAGTCATCCAGGGTTTGTGGTTGGAATACACCTGGAGACGTTTGTCCACAGTGACACTGTTGACACAGAAGTTAATATATGAGAGCACTGATGTTGTGTGCTCTCAAGGTCCTGATGTTCAAACACGCTCCAGTCCATGTTTCAAAACAGTCCTGCAGCTGATGCGATGCACCTTCTGGCCAGGTTTTCACAGTTTTTGTGACTGGGGGGGGGCTCTTCTCCTAACGGGAGTGTATGCAGGGATCAGCAGCATGGACATGTGGTCTGACAAACCTAGATGTGGTAGAGGTGTTGCTCTGTAGCCTTTTTGGATGTAGGCTTTATCCAGTGTGTTTTTCCCCCTCGCTGCACATTTAATATGCTGTTCAAATCTGGGGAATACTGACCTTAAATCAGCATGGTTGAAGTCCCCAGCTATAATGTGCACTGCGTTTGGATGGGAGTTCTGCTGATTACTTATCGTCTTGCGCAGCTCCTCCATGGCCGAGTTAGCATTAGCATCGGGTGGTACATACACGGCCGTTACCACGACAACAGTAAACTCCCGAGGTATGTAGACGAGTCTGAACTTCACAGTCAACCTGGAGCTCTTATTATGTCCTCCGGAATCCTGTGAAAATGGTGGTAGTCCGACGTAATGCTCCTTGCACAGCGTAATACCAAACTCAGAAGGTCCTGACGACTGTAAGTGGACTCTCTACTCGATGTATAATAATAAAAAAACACACACGTCCACGCGTAGAAAAAGTAAAAAACAAAACACCGAACGTGAGAAGCAGTGAGCCGCTGCGTTTGTGCGCGCCGCCATATTCATGAATTTAACTACCTACATGTATCTAAATTCCTCCTAAACTGAAACTAATGAGGAGAAATTCATAGTAACTTGAAAAAATGGTAAAATGATCAGTAAATTCTTTCCCCGTGTGTAAGTCTTATCAGGTCTGGATTGTTATTAGCAGTGTTGGTCAAGTTACTTGAAAAAAGTAATCAGTAAGTAATTACTTCCCCAAAAAGTAATCCCATTACTTTACATATTACTTAATTTCAAAAGTAATTAATTACTTAATTTCAAAAGTAATTAATTACTTAGTTACTTTTTAAAAACACAATTTACAACCTGAATAGGTGATAAAGCAATAGATCTTTCAGCCCAATTCTACTTTTTCTGCATAATCCATCATACAAAATGTAATTAAATGGAAAAGTCTCTTTTTAAAACTTGTTTTATCAGTTTTAATCTTTTAACTTTATGCATCAAGCAAAAATTTAATTATATGCTCTATTTTCACCTGTAAAGCAGGAGTGGGGTAGGCGGAGGTTTGCTACGTTTGTTACAAGTAACGCGTTACTGCCCATCTCTGGTTATTAGTAAGGAACTGACATGAGCGGAGACAATAGGGGAGATGAGAGCTTTAATTTTAGCAGGAAGCTCACAAGCAGTGTGACCTGTACATGTGTGAAAGAATACTGCATAGAAGGGTGATACATTTTTACAATGGTTAACCCTTTATTGACCATGGGTCCACCGGCGGGCCCATTTTACAGGTAAATTTGAAGGGCCAGTCAATAAAAGGTTAGTGATTTAAGGTTTTTATACAATTTTGAAACATAGTAACATATGTGCAGAGATAGCTGGCTCTTGGTGTCAATAAACACAGCAGAGTACAGTAGAGACTCAAAGAAAACAATGAGCGCTGGATACTTTTGAACATTTATTAAACGGTTCCCATATTTGAAAACTGAACATGTGCTCCTTCAGTTCCAAACACTTTATTCACAGATGATGTTCATTAACATGTTTGTATCACAGACGGCTATTTACATACATAGTAGACAGTTTGCATTTCACTGTATTTAGTTAAAACCCTTCATTTTTGTGATTCTTATAATAGAAAAGAAATTAACAAACATGACACGGTTTTCTTAAAAATGTATAAAACAGGCAAAGTGACAAAAAAAGTTTCATTATAAAATAAATCATATTATTAAATCATGCTTTAAATCATCTTTGTTGTTCAGATAAACAGTGCTGATCTGATTTATTTTTTCATTAGTACATTTGCTATTGCTGATATAAAACAACAAAAAGGTTCACAGTCACAACTTTAAATGGAGGCAGATTCAGTGCCTTCCAAATCACAGTCAAGTTCACACAAAGTCAAGTCGCACGGAAGACTTTCAGGCCTTCACTCTTCACAAGACGTAAACTCTCACTGAAGCCCTGTGTGCAGGTCCATTACGTGGAGCTCAGATCATGCAAACTTTACGGTCTTGCACACTTCAGTCTACGATTAAACAACATGTAAGAGGTACAAATCCTACTGTTAATCACTTAGTGTCTGCTCTGCAGAGGCATGCAGCTGAAAACCCTCAGGAGTGTGGACTTCAAACGTGAATGCTGTGAAACGGGTCTAAAAGGAAAGAGGAGAAATTTTATTTATTGAGATCTCTAGGTAAGATACAGACTACAACTTCTCTCAAAAAAAACAAAAAAAAAACCAAAAAACCCCAGAGGAACTGGACCGCAGTTCTGAAGCTTATACTTACAGTGAGTGCTCGATGAGTAGCGACTTTGGGTCTTTTAAATCCTCCATTGAATGGTTCTCATTCTGATTTCGCTCCGTGGAAATCTGGTCCCAGATTTCTGTGTTGACCCACAGAGCCCCTGGCAAAGTCAAGCTGGCTCTGGTGCAGGTAATCCAACGACAGAGAGGGCAGGCGACAGTGTAGATGGCACCCTCCAGCTTGGACATTCTCTCCAGACAAGGGGCGCAGAAGGTGTGGTTGCAGTGGAGGACCCGCGGTATCCTGTTGCTGCGTGAATACTCGTAGCAGCACACGCAGCACTCGAGCTCCTCGGCGGTGACCATGCTCGTATCAGATATGCAGAATAAGCAATGCGTGGAAGGCTGCTTTTTCTGCGATACAGAAAAAACACAAAATAGGTGAGTGGAGGGGAAAAATAAGACACAATATAAAATATTCACAAATGTAAAACTGAAACGTGAAGAAATTCAGCTTTTCTTTAACAGATGCTCAGTAACAAAATCATCTAAGAATCATTTGAAATACTTACTTGCTTGTTTGCTGCCGAGCGTTGCGTCTCTGAGTGTAGAAGAGGTGTATTGTGCCCGTTTGACTGGTTGAACGCTTTTTAAAGCCCTCCCTGATCACGAGGCCGTGTCATTTCCAAGGAAGTCTTGCCCTCAGGTAAATAATATTCTGTGGAACTTCACTCTTTAGAAAGGGTGTGCGGGCATGCAAGTCCACGTATCTTTCATAGTTGTTTTATTAACCATTTGTTGACTATTAAAACTTTACGAGGACCTAAATTTGACTTCTTTTTTTTAAAGAGAAAATAAACTTGAGTTTTGTTGAACTGTTAAGCTGATTTTATCTGTGCAGCAGATAAAAACAGCATGTGATGTTGTCAGAGAATGGACTTCCACCTATGTATTATTTTTAGTCTAAACCCTCAAAAAACTTTACATGGAAGTCACATTTTTCACTCTACAAACTTTGAGGTCTTCATAAGCATTTACTTCCAATTTAAAAAAAAAAAGAAAACCTGACATGCATGTGTTTGTTTATGCTGGCAGAAAAACCGAACCACTCAGGGGAAAACACAACAGGCACGTCCCACAGAAAGACACCAGGAAGTTGCAAAAACCCAGAAGCTTCTGGCTGTGAGGCGCTGACCACTGAACCATCATTAAGCAAATGGAGATATTATTATTATTAAATGCCCCACTGAGCAGGGTAATTTATTTGCATTTTACTATGAAAACAAAGACAATGCCACACAAGATTAATTGAAGCATGGTAATTTGGGCATTTGCTGTATAATCACACAAACGCACTCTCATCATAATCATCATGTTGGTCTTATTTTGAGATGGCGCCGAGAAAAGAGCAACGAACAAGAGAATCTTCTGCTTTCGGAGTTTTCTTCCTGTGGAAGGATTAGATGCAGTACAGTAGAACCAGCTTTTACTAAATGCAATGCACAACAGTAAATCATCAGCAATTGCGTGAGCCAGCACCACTAACACGACCGCGTGTTTGACTGCACAGCCCTAAGAAAAATCACTGGGTGTTTTCCTTAGAGCCACGACAGACAAGCTGGACATTTCTATAAATAAAAGAGAACAAAAACACAAAAGAGAAAAAATGATAAAAAAAAGAAAAAGAAAAAAGGAATATACAGAAACAAAAAAAAAAAAAAAGGTTCTCTGCATGGGTCTCCTCATTTAATCCTATGTAGATTGCTGCTATACTGATTGGCTAAGCCAAATTAAAAGGTCCTTGTCTCCGTTTATTTTTGTGCAGACAATGCTTGGCTCATGGGTTGACTGGAGAGACCATCTGCACTAACATCTAACTCTGACCGTGTAGCTTTAGCTGCTTCACAGGATCAAAGGCCAACTTTTGTTTTCTTCATGCTCTCTGCCTTCATATATGAATAGAAATCAAGGCTGGAGTTTTGTCTAGTCTCTTAGTCAGTGACGCATCACCGGTGCTTAATCTCAGACAGTGAGATAAACTGACAAGTACTGACAAGCATGAGCTTTCTTTTATAACACCCATTTTCATATAAGTGCACGTATAGTTTTGCTGCTATACGCTTCTTTATCATATTGTGTCTGATTATTAAAAGTTACTGATCTTACACTATTCACAGAATCTGCCTTTTATACTTCCTTGGATGGGAATTAATGGATTCATCATTATTTTGGCCACAGACTCATCTTGCAAGTCCTTATTATCATGTCCAACCTTTACTAAATTACACTAATGTATTCTTGGCATGTATCCCAGCACTGTAGCCTGGCAGCCTTTGAATGGTATACCAGGAATGCATTCAAACCCATTCATAGGAAACAGAAAGTAGAAGACGTAACACCCCTGACACAGAAAGTGGAAACCATAACTACTACTTTGAGGTTTTTCCGAGGAAATTGATTACATGAAACTTGACTTGTATGTATTTGGTCTCTTCATGTCACTCTTAAAAAAAAATAATAAAGTCTTGGAGCTGGATCAAATCATCTCTTCATCCCCTGAGGATTTTATTTCCTCTAATGAATTAGCAGGAAACAATGCAGATGGGAATGCTTTCTAAAGAAGTGATTGGCAGAGGCAAACAATTTAGAATCAACAAACAAGTTTTCCAGTTATGCAAAGTTCATTTTCACAAAGGAAATCAATATGTGTGCTGTGAAGTCTGCAACAAAGTGACCCACAGAGCTACACTCTCCCACAACCCATGAGCCAAGTTTGTTTCTAGAAGTGATATAAACCACAGAAGCACAGAGTAGATCACAACCGTTTTAATAAACCCCTCCAGTCTCCCCGGCCCCGGCTCTACAGCCACTCCCGTCCATCCCCCACCTCCTCCTCCTCCCCTCAGTCCTTCCTGGCTAGGTGGGCTTTGAGTTTTTTTCTTCCAAAGTCCATGTTGGTAGTGGTAGTAGTGGTGGTGGTGGAGGTTGTGGTTGTGGAGGGGTTTGATCGGGAATGAACATCCCTCCCCACCCCACGTAGTGTGTTTGTAGAATATCGAGTCCACTAGTTGGCTCACCTGCAGGGGGAGGGGAGCGCTGCCCTAAAACACCGGCTCCTCTCACTCCTGCGCTATGCTCCTCAGCACGTACTTCACTGTGTAGGCAAACGCTGCAAAGCCTACAATCACAAAGAGGTTGGCTAGAGCCCCACCTAGTAGTCCATGGTTACGATTGGCCTGCTGCTGGCCAGGGGCGGGATTGGCACCCCCTAGTGGGGCAGGACCACCGTTGAGGGCTGGGAGGCCATAGTGGGCTTGCTGGGGGTCTCCATCAGGCACCACATCAGGTAAGGGGAGAGGCTGTGTACGGGCGTTAAGCTCCTCCTGGGCCTTCTGCTTCTGCTTCATCTCCTGGCAGAAAGGAGGAGGAGAAGGTTAGGATGGAATCAGTCCCTGATGAACGTCTCTCCCACCCCCCCCCCCCCCCCCCCCCAAAAAAAAAGGCCCTCATACTTACGTCAACTACATCAGGAAACAGCTCACAGAATACTTTGTCTTTGAGGTTGAAAGCCAGGCTTTGGGCTGATAGCTGTCTTTTCTAGAAAAAAAAAGAAAAGAAAGAAGAAATGAAATACCTGAGACATAACAGGTCATTTATGTCATTATGTTGCAAATAGGATAGTCTGTTTTAATTACTGTGTAATCAGAGGTCTCAATGCTGCCAAGAGTGGGTCCTTTTTCCACCATGAAGCTGAGCAAACCCGTGAGGATTGTCGAGACGGACCACGCTGGGTTCCACGTATCCGGGTGGAAGTCTGTGATGGACAAACATAACCTGTGGAGAAATGGGAACATTTATGACCAAGTTCTAAAAACGCAGCCTAAATCATTTTCAAAGCTTTAACGCTTAAATTAACTGCGCAATAAGAAGCTACAGTCCTACCTTGTGTTGCACTTAAATCTCCCGTTTGGCGTTATCATGTAGATACTTGGTGGTTTAAAGGGGAATTCTCTGGGAAATATAAGTTTTCCATGGTAATATCCACCTATAAATTAGACATGACATATATAAATATATGTTATACAACACTGTGATATATCAAAAGCAAAAGACCCCCAAAGGATTAGTCATACCTGTATGAAGCTAACCTGAGAAAGACTCACCTGATCATTCCGGTGATGTTATCAGTTATTAACTCATCTAAACTCACACATTACACAAGTTTTTTTCTAGTGTTTAGCATTTCTTACCTTCATACGGGGTTTTCTCAGGACCTCTGACTACATAGTGCCTGAAAAAGAGGAACAAAAAAAGTTAATCACTTATTTCAGATTTGACTAAACAAGTCATCTCTAGACTTGCTGGCATGGCCCAGAATCAAACTCTGTTTCTCCTCCAATTTTTTTTAAAAATTTAGATCTTTCACATCCTGTGATCTAAGATCTAAATTTATAGACAGACAGACAGACAGACAGATATATGAATGAATGACAGGCTGCTAGTCACAAAGCGCCTAAGATATGATTTAAAATGCCTACTTTGCCAAGTTGTCTATTCTGCAATGAATCTTTGTAGACCTTTCAACATAACCGACACTAGTAACCAACACCGCCGCCAGCATTCATGCTCGAATGCACACAGTGGCAGCTGCTGGCAATGGCAGCCACAAGGTAATTACGTGTTAATTAGTGTGCCTGTGTTTCATACATGATGCAAGATACAAAAGAAACAAACTGCTGGGACTTTTGCCCCCTCCTAGCTCCCTTACTTGTTGTTGTCTTGTTTGTTTTTATTTTTTGAGCCAAATTAATTTTTTCCTCACGTTTCTACCTCTCTGCACCTTCGCTCACATCAATTCCAGTTTTGTCTCCCACCTGGAATTTGCTGACCTTTGTGAATCCTTGTATTGAGGCTACTCTTATTACTCTTTATATCAGGTGGTGATTTTTATTCTCTCACTGTTCCATTCAAAAACTACAGTGAAGAAATGCACAGGAGGGCTCAACAATACACATTAACTGCAAGCTGCATTAACTCAGAGGTCCCCAACCTTTTTTGCGCCACGGACCTGTTTATGCCCGACAATATTTTCACGGACCGGCCTTTAAGGTGTCGCGTATAAATACAACAAAATAAAACTAGTACCGGTACCAAAAAAAAAAGAAGATTTATTCATAACACACGTGAAAAGACCCAGGAAAACAGAGTTAACGATAAAAACGATAACAAAATAACGCTGAAAACCGATAAAAACCCTGAAAACCATACATTTCACACCTGAGCCTCAACTCTCGCTGCCCAGTACCAAACGACTCACGGTCCGAGGCCCGGGGGTTGGGGACCGCTGGTCTAACACAAAGGCAAACAAGAAAACAAACAAAACAAAACAAAGAACAAGAACTGGACTGAAAATAAGTGAAAAAGCAACGAGTGTCCAAAGATTTTAAAATGTTCAGAAAGTCTTGAGAACTACTGCTCCAGACCACTTTGAAAATGTTAAGAAAGTCTGGCTCCTTGGAAGCAAAATATAAAAACCAAGAGGTGAATTTAGAGTTTTGCACAGTACTGCACTGATCATGTTAAACTCACGCTCAAATGTCTAAATAATTACAATAAAAATATCATTTTTTTTTCTTTTAAGAGTTAAACACACTACTGAGGGCCATGTCACATTCCAGCGCTCATTATGACTTTATTTAAAACCATTAATTTCTTTAATAAACATCCATTCAAGAAATGCTAATCAAATTATATGGCTAATATTTAGCTAAGTGCTAAAAGTGCTCAATTACATATTTCTTTCATTATTTAAATGTCATGTATTCAGAACATTTTTGGTCAATTGCACTTTTTCTCCAATATCTATACGTCTTTTTTGTACTGGTTTAGATTTTTAAGACATCTCCCAATAGAAAGAAAATGAGCATAAACAAAATTAACAAAAACAAAAACCTGTTCATAGCTTTACAGGAAACGATACCTGATCATCATTAGGATAGTCTGTGGGATATATACAATTTGTACAGTGTCACTCTTCATATGGGTTTCCTTCTACCGCAGAAATAGAGCTAACAGTATTATCATAGTGTGCAGTCTTTACTCATCACTCATTTTCTATACATTTTCCTTCTAAAAAATATAAATCTTTCCAAGGAACCAGTCTTTCTGACGTGACCAAAGTGGTCTTGACGCAATAGTTCTACAGACGTGTTTTTAAATGTTTGAACATTGGTTGCTTTTTCCACTCACTTTAACTTTTGCTTTCTTATTTGTCAAGTTACTTAACACTGTCCTATGATTCATTCCAGTATAAAAAGGGATGACTCAGTATTGCGTAGTATTGTGTACACACATAAGAGACAATGGTTCAAAGAAATGACTTTGTTATTAGCAGCCTGTTGGAAAAACATATTTTGCCCCCCCTTCTTTAGTTGACTCACTACTTTCTGTAGAAGCCTGTTGCAACAATGAACGATTTCTTCCAATTTCTTAAGTCAAATACACAAAAAACAACAATAACATAATTTAAAAGTCATAAAAATAGTAGTTTTGCACCATGTCCTTCAAGAAGCACTGAGAACTATTCCTAAAGAAAAAGAAAGCACACAAAAGCTTGCCTAAGAATTCAAGACATAGTGAAGGATAATGACTTTCAGCCTTTCAACTCAGAACTGTGCAAACTTTTGCCTTGTACACTGTATTTCCATTTAAGTTTGCACATGTTTCAGAAATTGCTGCACCAATGTCACTTTTTTTAGCAAAATATAAAGAAATGAGGACTGCCTCCAGACTTTTACACAGCACTGTAAATTTTTTAAAGCTCTGAAAACAGAATTAAAACTGCATCCACTGCTAAATACTCACTTGTATATAGCAGTGGATGCAGTTTTAATTCTGTTCATCTGTTCATCTTGGAAACCACGATTCAATTTTGTTGGTGTAAAACACTAGCCTGATTTTACACATGAAATGTTTAGTTTATTATTTTTCTACAGAATATTCACAGGTTTTAAACTTTGCCGATGGCCCTAAACACCCTTCCCTGGCTGGACCTCAAGAGTCAAAAAGTCCCAATATTTCCTGACTAATGAGGAACTTACCATTCTAGGATGTTGGAGGGAAGGGGCTCTGCACAAATGTAAGGCACGGGGTCTTTCTTTATCCTGAGGTAATCCTGCTTAAGTCTCTGAGTGGCTGTAGTTGGAGCTCTTTTGTTCCCGTTGTTGTTCATCTGATGATTGAGAGAACATAAACAGTGAGAAAACAAAAACAGTGAATTGCATAAATCTGGATTTACACTGACATCACTGTCCAGATGTATTCCTTTACATTAGGAAATCAAAGCATATCCTGTTTTACTATGGATCTGAACTCTGGACTGCATAGATTTGAATGATTGAATGAATGAAGAACTCTGAATGAATGAATGAATCATTCTGGGTAGCGGAAAGCTTTAACCCTAATATGCCTGTGAAAGGTAACTGCAGCTTCAACTAGAGCAGATCAAAAGACATTGCATCCAGCACTGTCACCTGACCTATTAAATATCAATACTATTAAATATTTAATAAACTCTTAAACATATCACTGCAAATATTATTTATATAGTACATTTCATTACACGTAGGTTAAATGTGCTTGCCACAAAAGATAAAAATATTTTTAAAACTATGTAGCTCTACAATCTCTTAAGGCAATAAAAACAACATAAGAGAGATACGTTAACAGTCACACACAAACACAAAGTTATTAATCATATGCCTGCAAGAATAAAGAGGCTCCAAGTTTGTTTTTGAATGTAGACACAGTTGGAACTGACATCAGGTCAGTGGGAAGGTTGTTCCAAAGAAGAGAACCATTATAACAAAATGTACCCTCAGCAAACTTTCATCTCATTCTGGTAACAGTTTACAGACCTGCACCTGATGACCTGAGAGGTCTCAGAGTCCGAGATGTACTGGGGGTCAAACCACTGAGTTTAGAAGCATTTTAAAGGCATTTCTGTATTGCAGTGGCAGCCAATTAATTTCAAACAAGCTGAAGTTATCTAGCTGATGATTTGGATAATCTTGCAAATACACCAGTAACCTGGTTGATATGAATGGATGGACCATTTCCCAGTCAGTTTGAGATAAGACTTTTTTTTTTGACATATGGTTATACTGTTAGAAAGCTGCATATGCAGTTGTGTTGGCCTTATTAGTATGATTATGAATGCTAAGACCACTGTCCAAAATAAGGCCAAGGTTCCTAACATGTTCAATGTGTTTCAACTAGAGTGAAATCGGGTTGAAAAGACTAACAGTGTGTTAAATAACAACAACAACAAAAGCAGAGAAGGGCAGTAAAATCTCACACTGAACAACACGTAACCAGTACAGGCTTCTGTTTATTTATTAGCAAATGCTAACGCTAACTGGAGAAACAGGCAGAAATAGCTCAACTCTGGCTGCAGAGTGAAGTTTAAATATCAAGTGATTACTTCGCCTCTGTTTTCCTAAAAGATGAAGTTGTCCAATTAGTACAGCTTACAAAAAGCACCGAATTTTAAAAACAATTTATCCAATCTCTCATTGTTCTCTAATGGCGCTGTGACTGTTTGTTTTGTAACTCATGCACAGCACTGCTGTGGTGCTTTAATGCTATATGCATACAACACTGCCTCGCCAAGTGAAAAAGTAAGCATTTAGCAGAGAGTGGAATATAGTATGTATTGCGTTCAAGTTAAAATACGCATCGTGTTCCAAATACTTACACAACGGATATAATTGTACTTTAAACTTTCTTCCCCTGTCAACCCATGTAATTGAAAATTACGACAATAATAAACACTGTCAACTGACCTGGTGTCACGGGGACAAACGCTGACATGTAATAAGCAGTACGTGGACCGCAACAGTGCTAGAATTATGTCATTATCACTTCCAAATAAAGAGGAAGGCTTCTTAACGCAACTTATGTGACTGAGGCTAATCCGCTACTTAGCGGCTAACGTTACATTTCTGGCACATTCAGTGCCTGTCATAAAGCCTGATAATTAAATAATAAACAACTATTACGGACCAAGCTTCAGCTACAGAATGACTGCATGTGTCTGACCACTCTTTAATCACACCACACTTTAATCAGTAAAGCCAGTTCAGGAAAGCTAGCTTGGCACGGTGGCTTTGCTAATGCTAACCGGTGTCGGTTCCTGTTTGAGTGCATTTTAGAACAAGTGGCTAACGTTAGCCAACGTAGGCCACTGCTAACCGGCTAATGTTAGCAGCTACTAGCAGGAACAGTTGTATTGTATATTGTATAACGACAGCTGACCGCGACATCTCTCGCTTTTATTAGTAACTACGGGATGTGCAGTATACACATACCTCTCCAGAAACCCCAACGAAAATATGTATTCGTGGCTGGACACGAAATAAGGTTGTTATTTCTGTTGTCAACCCCAATCCGATAAGACGATGACACCAAAGTAGCTTACGCTATCGCCAGCAGGAGGAAAAATTACACTTCCGGTTTTCTTCTTCATCGCTGCTGTAGCAGTTGAAACGTTACTTAGCAAGTGCTTTACTGTCGCTAGCTGCCCAATCGCGATCCTCCTGGAAGTCCAGTACCGTCTAACAAACATGGTCACCCTTCAGTAACTGTCTTTTAATCATAACATCCGTACTTACATTTATAGTCAATCGCCAAGTAGCACTTGACACTCCCGGTACTTTATGCTGGTGCTTAAATTTGGATTTGCAAAAAAACACGGACTAAACAACAACCATTGTTTAGTCCGCTAAAACATTCCACAAGACCTTTAATAATTTCAGTAGATTTTTTTATTTGACTTCTGCCATCAGTTACAAAACACTTAAAATCATTTTATCAGAAATTTCATCACAAATGCTGAAGAAATGTTAAAGGATTACTTCACTTAATTTAAAGGTCAAGTTTCATTTACTCATCATAGAGAGCGTCATTAAGCCCGTGGAAATATTTGCATAAGCATTAGCAAACACAGTCAAACCCGGATTATTTTATTTGTGTTATTTTTTTTTAAATTTTGTTGGTGTGGGTGTGAGACCCACAGTTTGGGAAGCTCAACTGCTTCCTGAGATTTTTATTATTTTTTTCAAAATTACAGTAAATAACAATCATCACCTCTTGCATTGCACTGTTCTCCGGGGAGAACTCGGGTCCTGAGAGTCATGAGGACATTCCTTGCACATATGACCATCTGTCCAAAAACTGTTGCACATAAAGAAATTGTACTTCCCGTTAAATAGGAACAGTGATCGAACCTCCAGGCTCCCCAGATTCCAATCTGATGATGCCCTATCCAACTCAAGCTCCAGGGTTGAGTTTACTTTTTAATGGGGCCCTATGCAATATTAGTTGGACAGGTTGAGAATTGTTTTGTTGTTATATGTCTAAAGGTCCATCCATCCGCTTATCCTTTTCAGGGTCGCAGGGGGCACTGGAGCCTATCCCAGCTGTCATAGGGCGAAAGGCGGGGTACACCCTGGACAGGTCGCCAGTCTGTCACAGGGCTATCACATAGGGACAGACAACCATTCACATTCACACCTAGTGGCAGTTTGGATTATCCAATTAACCTATCCCCACAAGCTGCATGTCTTTGGACGGTGGGAGGAAGCCGGAGTACCCGGAGAGAACCCACGCAAACACGGGGAGAACATGCAAACTCCACACAGAAAGACCCCGGCCTGATGGTGGAATTGAACTCAGGACCTTCTTGCTGTGAGGCAACAGTGCTAACCACCGTGCTGCCCGGTCTGTCTAAAGGTCATCAAATGTTAATGTCAGCTCTGCTGGATGACTAACATTATCAAAACTGGAGTAAGTCAGCTAAAACATCAGTGCAATAGAACTGTTTGTCTTTGACCAAGTTTATTTACGAGAGAATATTACAACTATTGCAAGTCTGCTGTAGTTTTAACTTGTGCCTACTGGAATTTGACTTTTCTTTTTTCATTCCCAGAGCATTCACTTCGGCGGACCGACGTGTCTTCTAATCGAACGCAGCAGTCTCCTGCCTGATTCCAAAGTGACTGAAGAGAGGTCGGATGAAGTGAGGGGTCAGCAGTGATCACTTTGGCTTCTTACAGCTGCTGAACTGTAAGCTCCTTCTTCTCAACTTTTCGGGCTGGAGAGACGCGAGGAGAGAAAACTCGCGAAAGACATCAGTGCAGGAGATGTCACCTGAAACAGTGGACACTGAAGTTAAGGATTTGTCCCACTGCAGGGCACCATGGAGAATTGCCAACCTTCTTTTAGAATATGCGATACACTACTGTGAAAAAACTCTTGAGACACCACTCATTTCTTTTTCTTTTGGTAACACCAATCTATGCCTAATACTGTTTCATTGTGAGTTTTTCTATCTAGCAATGCTTTGGAAGTGTGGTCGGGATCATTGTAATCATTAAAAATGAAGCTGTCATCATTACATGGTGGGTCAAAATCCAACCATGACAATGCTGTAGACACTCACTGACACCAACTAAAAATATAAAATTTGAATTCATTACTCCTTCAAAAATGTCGCCACTGATTTTTAGTCCAATTCTTGTATATTTGGCGTATGTCATTCTTCTTTAGCCGTTTCCCTTTCCTAAGAATCTAGCTACCCTTGCACTGAGACAATTTCTGTGAGGCTTCAGTCAACAGTAGAGGGATCAAATGAAGGGTCAGGTGCATATCTCAGAGCCTGGGCCAGGTCTATGCTGTATTTCTAACCTGTTTCTTAAGCACATGACTTTCAGATCCTGTTCATCTGTTTTATTCAAATCCTTTCTTGTCCCCTTTCCTCAACATTTTAAGCGCATGCTGAAAGCCACATGGACATATGTTAAGTTTTCAGCTAATATTTAGGAATCAACTCATTGGTACAAAAATAATGTTTTATCTACAACAAATGGTGTTGACCATTTATCAGAAACACGGTGACTAAAAATAACATTTAAAACCAGTTGTTTGGCAAGTTGTTTGTTAAGACGAGCCTGGCACATCCCTGAAGTCAGAAGCATTTTTATACTTGAATGAAGCATCAGTGTTGATTGGAAATTGTGAGGCACAAAGACTGGAGTAAAGTTCAGTGAAAAAGCAGCTGATAAACTTTGAACTATTGACCACATTTTTTAAAATAACAAAGGTCTGGCTTATTAGAAGCAAATTAAGAAACAATTGGTGACTCAAGCCTTTTGTACAGTACTGTATATAAGCAAGATTATAAGGAAGAAAGATCAGATCAATGTTTGCTTTGCATACCCACGAAAGAGAAAAGTGCCCGCAGCCTCACATTTTTGCGTTGCTCCTAAGCCTAGCCCTGTGAATCACGGGACGTACAAGTAAAAAACCTTTATTTTCTCTTAAATGGGATTCCTGGATACTTAATAGCAAGTGTGGAATTTAAAGGGAAGTAGTGGTGAGCATCCTGTTCATTCTTTTTTTTTTTTTTTAACTTACCAACTCTCATTGAATTCAGTCAAAATTACAGTTTAACTGTATAAATACTGTATTGTAGCCGTCTTGGCACATCCTCCTTAAGGCAATGTTCCTGTGCCTCATTTATAAGAAAGGGAAAAGACTGGCAGCATTATCACAGCAAATGTTTTTCAAGCTTATCCATAAAAATAGGAGGGGGGAGGGCCACAGAGCAAGAACCTCAAGTTAAAGCGCAACCACCAGAGCAGGAAAAATCATAGTATCACGCTAGTGTGCCACAGCAAGACAGCCCAGGATGCTTCACTCACTCTATCCCGAACATCCTTAGGTTTTACTCTCCTGCTGCTCGGGGTACGTCCTGTGGTAACAGAAGCAATGATATGTCAGTCAGTGGTTATTTCCTCAAGTGGACATGTGTCATTTGTCTTTAGTGTTAAATTAAAGGAATTAGAGAGGACATTTTATTCAGGGATGGTGTGACATATGCTTGTGAGAGCACATACATGTTTTACACACTGGAGACACTGAATTATTCAAGGCACGGTGTTGCTGCTGCGGGCAAGCAGATGAAGCACTGTTTTAATACCCATAAGACTCTGAATGCTTAAGTTATTCTTAAATAGTAGAGTCTGTGTACACCTCAGTGATATTTCACAACATGAGACTAATTGGTTTATTGCTTTGAATAAGCCAAGTGCTACCAAAAGTTTGTAAATCACCAAAGACACACCAGAGTATTCTGTAAAATAGCACTCTCCCAGCATCTGGCTATATCTATGGATTACAACCACTGCCGTATTTATTATTATTCAATAATTAGAGCAGCTATCATCTGGAAAAAGAATGCTGGGAGAATGTTAGACAGAAAAGATGAGAGAGGGAACAGCAATGAGAATAAGAAGCAGGCAGCTGGGTTAACAGATCCATTTCAGTTTCTCAGTTTTATTGTATGTATTTTGTTTTTCCCCTTAGTGCTTCTAAAGACATGGAAGCGAGTATTCCAAAGATATCCAAATGCCAGTAAACAGAAGAACCCCCGCAAGTAATTCAGAACCGTGTCACAGTTCTACCCGACCGGCTGTTTTTCAAAGACAATGAAAAAACAAACATTAAACAGAATCTGTGACCGAATGCTGAGAGGCAGGAAGTTAGCATTAAGTTAAAATATGCAAGTGTACTATATACAGCATGTTTGCGCCTTTAACCACTCTTAAGCCAATACTACACACAAATGGACACAACATTTAATACTTCCGCGAGGGCGACAGCTCTTAACAGTTTGGTCACAGTAGCTTCACATCACCCCCCGAGACTGGTTCTACTTGCAGTACATTGAACTATTGCATCTATCAGGTAAGTCACATCTTCTGAACATGTGAGCACCAACAGTGTTTCTACCACTCTCACAACTCAGAAAGGATGGTAAGAGTATCCTGTATATACCCAAAACAATTCTTCTTTTTTTCCTTTTTTTAACATGATGTTATACAACAGTGTCAGACACTTTCCCTTTAAAAAAAAAGTCTTTGGCAGAGGAAAATAAAAGCACAGTATAAAAAAAATGAAAGAAAAGAAAAGAAGAAAAGTCACCACAGATTCGTGTGTGGATGAAACAATGGCACAGAGGTGGAAAAAGGAAGAAACTTATGACACCAGAGAGGTCATATCGGTACATGCTTTTTTTGACAGGACTGCACTGCACAAAGTGATCAAATTATAGAAAAAATATTCATCATGCTCAAGATGCAAAGGTCAAACTTCCCAAAAATCTAGCAAAGCATACAGAGGATATTCTTAGCATTGACGTAGATATGCTAGTCCTGTCACGACACGAGTTTTTAAAAGATTAAATATACTCCATAATTTCAACATAACACGAATACTTTCCTGTAATATTACCATTGCCAGGAAGCTGAAGAGCTTTTTAGTTTTATGTTCTATAAATGGAAGTGAATAACATGATGCAATTTTACGTTTCTGCATGTTCTCACTGCTCTGAACTATTGGCAGTTATTGCTCAAATAATGAGTCACTGTCAATTCAGAATTTCCTCAGAGAAATCAGAAGTTCCATCGATATGTTTGCATAACCTAATGAGAAGTGGCACGTTTTACTGCCAAGACAAAAGTACTCTGTAATCTAAGGCCATTT